ATGTTAAACAATATTTAAAGAAGACTGAATTGCTGAACACAATATTTTTTGCCATTTGATTTAGGTTGATTTAAAAATTTTACCTTGAGACCCAATAAAGTATTTAGAAGAGAAAGATTGTCTAATATTTCTGGCACGCCAGCACATTTTTCTGAGAGCTTTCTTTCTTTTTCATGATGATTCATGCTTGGAAGGATGTTGAACATCAGATACAGGTAGTTCCGCACAAGAAACAGAGGGGTCTGGGTATCATTCAAATTCAAAGTGCATGAAAAAACTCTGGAGAAAAATTATATAACATTTTACTATCAGATGGTTACATAAACAAAAACTGCAAGTCAAAATAACCAACTGAAAAAAGTTATCAAACAACAATTAAATAACATAAAAAACATTATAAAAATCTAATAGTTATTTTTCTAATTTAATTCTTATTTGGGTTTTGGAAGAAAAAATTTAGGATATACAGACTTTGTGTACAAAAATTCCTAAGACCAAAATGACTAACTTGATGTTCATATTCAAAGCTCTGTTGATGACGGCATCCAGAACTCTAGTTTTGCCCATTCCAGAGTCCCCACGAATTACAAGCATCTTGTGATTTTCTCCATTAGCCTTCATTGCTTTGAGTTCTGCCTCAAGAATTTCCATCTCTTTTTCTCGGCCTGGAAAAGCAAAAAAAGGAGAAAAAAATTTTGACCAGCAAAAGACAGAAAATTTGGATTAGTAAAAGTATACGCAAAGTTGCCTTAACATAAACATGAGGTTTTAAGCACAATTATACTAACATCTATTGCTATTCACAAATACATTCCAAACATGTCCAACTGAAAATAAGCCAAAATTCATTTATGACAAAACCATTATATTGCTTGTATATATGTAACATACTAAATATTTTCTCTCTAGGGTTGATTGTTTATTGTATGCCAAGTAAATATAGACTTACCAAGTAATGGATATTCAAATGTTTGAACATCACTAGCCATGTTTTCTCTTTGAAAATTAGAAAACAAAGATAATTTTAGTAAAAAAATCAATGGCATTTAACATTATGCTATGTTAACTCATCAAAAAGTAAATAACTGTAAATACAAAAACAAACAAACAAACAATTTCAATAAAGATACTTTAAGCTCTTTAGCTCACAACAAAACATATGACTCTACTGTAACAATTAAAGTAACCTGATACATTTTATTACTCTCCCTTTACTATTTCTTACTTCCCTTCCTCAGTGTATTCCCTAACTATGCCAATCTTATGCATCCCCTTGAGCTTTTTTGCCTGCATGGTTTTGAAATTGCATCGGTTCAGTTTGGAGTGAGTAAATGTCTCATTGTCACAGCTGACTATAGCAGGGTAATACATCATCAGTCGTGCAGCCATGTTCACTTTACGACCTATGACTAAAAGTTGTACACAGATCTTTTAGTGAACACTATAAAACATATGTGTAATATTTCAATTTGATGGTATTTAACATAAATTAAATTTGTAAATAGTAAAAAATAAAATCTATGTGATACTAATGATTCACTATGTATGTAAAATGCCATACATAATGCAAAATTCTGAAACATGCGAAACAGTGCTTAGTTGCATTATCTAGACATGGGATTGAAAGCAGTAAATTAAAATGAACACTATCTTACTCCAGATTGCCCTGTTGCCTTCATACCTATAACTTGTTTGTCTAAAACAAATATTGGCTCACACACACACACACACACACACACACACACACACACACACACACACACACACACACACACACACACACACACACACACACACACACACACACACACACACACACACACACACACACACACACACACACACACACACACACACACACACACACACACACACACACACACACACACACACACCACACACACACACACACACACACACATACACACATACACACACACACAAAATAGANTATATTTAAATTAATTTATTTATTTTATTTTTTACCTATGTATATATTTTTTTTACCTGTGTATTCATGCCTATCCTTGTGTCCCACAACTCCACAAAAAGAGTTACCTGTAGTCACACCGATGGAGGTCTGCCTGTCAAGAAAAAGATTGGGCATAATTAAAATAGCATATGCTTTTTTATTGTTTTCATTAAGATCTTTAAATAAACAATCATACTGTGACTACCAAAACAATTTGTTTAAAATTTTCTGATGGCAGACTTTCAACCAATTAAAACAAAAAACCCTTGTTCACATCGTGGATGAAAAAGACAAAGTAGGCTCACGTAATATTTTTATGCATGTCCAGTTTGTTCTTCAGTCTGTAAGAACACTGCAGGGCATGGGCACAGTCCCCTTCATGTTTAAAGCCAGGTAAACCAAACAGGACCAGGAAGGTGCACCCCTGATTTTATAACAACCACATTTAAATATCATGTAGAGCAGTGTACAAAAATGATTTTAATATTAAGAAAATAATTCATTACCTCCGCCAAGGAGGTTATGTTTTCACCCCTGTCTGTCTGTCTGTTTGTTTGTCATCAACATAACTCAAAAAGTTATGGACTGATTTTGATGAAATTTTCAGGGTAGGTCGGAAATGGGTTAACTTAGAAGTGATTAGTTTTTGGTGGTGATCTGGATCAATATTCAATCAATAATCAATTATAATCAAAAACTGCTGCCTTGGCGGAGGTCTGCGCTCTCAGAGTGCTTTTCTAGTTTGAGTCATGGGTCAAAGGTATAAAAATATTTTTTCATGTTTTTACAGTTTGCACATATTAACAACTTAACAAAGAGCTACTATGTCAAACAGGTTTGTAAAAAATGGAATACTTACTTTATCAAACATGAATATTTTGTTCAAAGACCCTGAAAAATAAATACTGGTAAGTTTTATCTTATCTGCCACATAAACACAGTGAATGTCGTCCATAAACATCAACATGTACAATAAAAAACTAAGAACAACCCTAAAATTAAGCTGCCATGCACTTTAGATGTCATTTGTTTTAAAAAACAAAAATAAAATTCTTTACTGACCTTGTTTACATACAGGCACCTCTACATCACCTACTTGACAATTTTATCTGCCCTTACCTTGAAATGACCTGACTTCAGGGTAGATGATATCCAGGGCATCTTGTAGCAGACTATGAGTACTGGTTGTCTGGTCCTCAGACAGCATTAAGTTAACAAACACAATGGACACCAGACGCATCTCAGACATGTATTCTGTAGGCAAGTTGTCATCAAGCTAGAATGACATAGTACAAAAATTAGATACAGGGGGCAAATTAGAAGTAATTTGTTTTAGATACATACAATTATAAACATTTTTAAATTAGTGATAAATTTGTAAAACATTAATTTCTTTTGCAAAAACAAACTTTTAAATATTTGGCAGAAAAAATGTATACGGTACCAAGTGCTGGCAAAAGTATCAAAATGCATCACAGTGACTTACAAGATATGCAATGACAAGCCTTTAATAAGCAGACCTCAAATTTTACCATAATACACCCGTATCTTAATTACAACTAACCACTCCTCCCAGGAGTACATTTATGTAGTTTCATATATGTTCTTTAATTTTTCACTGACCACCATGGCTAGTGGATTTTAAAAGCTAATTCTATACCTTATATTTAAGTCCCAATTCCGCAAAACAGTACTGTCCCTTTGAGAGATTCAGATTCCATTGGCCCTGCCAAAAAATCATCAGTCTTGGTCCAGCACAGCCAATTGTTATTTCTAGCATTACAGACATATACAAATACCCTACCTTTCTTAGCACAGGTTTTGGCACATACAATCTTAACACCTGGTCTAGATTGACCCCAAGGCGCTTTGCCATCATCTTCATAACATCAATTTGAACTGCAAAGAACAAAAATAATGTAAACTGAACCATAACTTCAGTGCCAATGTGCATTTAAATACCACATGACAAACATTATACTTATGATGCATTTACTGCATTTGTATTAAAATTATATCTCTTTTCACATAATCTTCATCTGTTATGCACATATTTTTTGTCTTTAAATGATATTACTAAGGCAATTATAAAATACAATTATTCATATATGTAATGAGATTTATGAAAATAAAGATCCTTACCTCTGACATTTTTTGCCCCTGTCTGAGGGGATCCAGGTGGTCTCAGGGGATCCAGTTGCCTCTTGGTCCCAGCTTAAAAAAAAAAAGATCAAGCAATTAAATAAGAAATCAACGCAGACAGGCTGAGACAGCTTCTGTTATGTTTTCGCTTAATATACTATACAATTCCACTCTGTCCAAGCTAGCAATTAATGATACAGCTTTAAACAGGACTTGAAAAACATTCTCTTTGGTGTTAAAAAAGTAACATTTTGAGTTAAAGTGTAAACAAAGCATTACATATTTAAAAAATTGTATACCTTTTCATTCATTGTTTGAATTTCAGTGATTTATTTACCTGCGTCTGAGCCTGCACTGGCATAAGGGTTGGATGCATCAAAATCCATCACATGAAGAACCTAGGTGGATCAAAGAGCACTTGAAACAATTAATTATGTGTTTATACTCATCAATTATTTCTTCTTTTTTTCACTACCACCTTCACTACTCAATATCGATAAGAAAATCTCTATCCTTTCCATTTTTAACAATACATTCAGCCCTTTTATTCCACTGCAAGGAATGAATACATAATTCATGTCTGACCACAGTAGAGAATAGAACTGTTGTCTGCTGTACTAAGGATTTTTACCTTGACGTGTTTCCCGTCCGACAGAATTTCATGGTCAATGACCCTCTTGTTGCAGTACTGCCATGCGGAAGGAGATAAGACAACATCTCCGCGGCAACAGAAGGATTCTGCTTTGTTCACTTCCTCTACCACTGGCCCTGTGGATACATAGTGGCAGTACTCCTTGTTACCTATGAAGTTGATTGTCGTATTGCCAGCTGCAACACCTGTAAAAGGGACAGACAATTGATTAAAATGAATTTTTTTAAAATTTGAATGCTTGATTGGATGTCTACTTTATCTACACACAGAAAAATATTTCAATAAAGTGAAAATGGAAAGAGTGAGAAGGGGACTTCCAACAAGCATAAGATTGGTTAAATTTAAAATATACCAAAAATAACATTATAATTGTACTACTCTTGCATGTATGTCTTCAATGAGGGAAAACATAATGCATACAGAGACAATTTTTTTAACAATTACATTCATCAATCTACCTGGTACCACAATAAAATATATATGAATATACAAACTGCAGATAACATACTAACCCATCTTCACTCGTAGTGTTACTCCAACATCAGTCTGATATTCACCACATGTCCTCTGGATGTTAATACAGCACTTCACAACTTGAATAACTTTCTTTCTTATTTCATCTGGTCGTGTGCACTTCCAAGCAGCCAATATTGCATCACCTGTGTTAACAAGGTAGAAATTCAAAATACACTGTCAAATTCACGATCATGACTATGTGCTTGTGATCATAACTAAAGAGGCAAAAATGTCAGCTTGAAAAGTATTAATTAATTAATTAATAATCACTATTGTTTTAACATAAGAGAGTGAATGTGAATGTGCTGATTGATACCGCCAGTAAGACATCAAAAAGAAAAAAATAAATCTGTCAATAAACATGAGAGAGTAATGCAGCAACTATCCAATTTTGGCATCACCATAGTACCTGTTGAAGATCAATGGTACCAATTACTATGTTGCTGCAATAATAATAATAATAATA